TACTTTGAAGAATCTCAAATAACATATTTTGATTTGTTTACCACTTTTTTGGTTACATGATTCCATATGTGTTATTTCATAGTTTTGATATCTTCACTATTATTATGTAGAAAATAGTAAAAATAAAGACACCCTGGAATGAGTAGGCATGTCCAAACTTTTGACTGGTACTATATCTCTCCTCCCTGATGCAGCAACCACCACACATACAGTGTGTATAGCGCTGTCCGTGTTGCTGAAGCTGCAACAGCCATTTCTGAATTAAAGGTTGTTACTGAAATCCCTAATTTACCAATAGGGCCTGACCTATAGCATATCATAATCACATCAATAAATTGGTTATAACAAACTCTGAACACCGTAACAGCAAAATGGATGCAGAGGACACGACAAACTTGAAACGGGGGAATGTTTACTGTTTGCGCAGGAGGTAAAGCGGAAGTCAGATGTGTGGAATAAATTTGACTAGTTGTGGAAAATACTAGAGACCAAGAACAAGAAGGTAAGGAGCAAGCACTGCTTATATATGTGCCAAACAGGTGCTGTTAGATTACAATTTCATTTTTCTGACCGTTCAGAAACAATGTAAACACTAAATAAATCATAAGCGTACCAGAGACTGTTGTAAAGTTTTTTTGTAAAGCCTTCATTACAGCAAAGACTAAAATGCTCATTATTCAATGGTCGCTTAGTTATTTAAAAACTAAAATGCTTAATTGCATTTCACATCATGAATGACTGGTATGCTGTGTGATGACATTAACAAATAAATGATTGATACAGTAGCCTATATAAATATTGAAATATAGGCCTAAGTAAGTTATGGTATTAAGCCTAAACAGGATGCACTCTTAGGCCTACAGCTCGATGGTGGTTATACAAGGCAGTTATATTACGCCTACTAATGATAATGACATTACTTATTATTATAATGATGATCATAAAAATAAACAATAAGGAGGAGATCAAGGAAAAAGGAGGGTTATTTTTATAAATATAATTTCGGACAATTTGGAACAGTGTAAACACTAAATAAATTATTAATACCAGAGGCTGTTCTAACGAAGAAGAAAAAAAAGTTAAGACTTTATTACAGCATAGCAACGATTAAAAACAGCCACATTTGCGAAATTGTTGCGTGAGTCTTGGTGCTCACGGAATCAGTAGGCTATTAAACACTCAAAACAGGCAACAGAAGCAGGATCTGTCTTATTTCTGTAGATACAGTGCATTCGGAAAGTATTCAGACCCCTTCCCATCCACATTTTGTTATGTTACAGCCGTATTCTAAAATTAAATAAATACAAATTAATCAATCCACACACAATACCCCATAATGACAAACTGAAAACAGGTTTGTTGAAATGTTTGCTAATAAAAAATATGACTTATTTTACATAAGTATTCAGACCCTTTGCTATGAGACTCGAAATTGAGCTTAGGTGCATCCTGTTTCCATTGATCATCCTTGATGTTTCTACAACATGATTGGAGTCCACTTGTGGTAAATTCAATTGATTGGACATTATTTGGAAAGGCACACACCTGTCTATATAATGTCCCACAGTTGACAGTGTATGTCAGAGCAAAAACCAAGCCATGAGGTCGAAGGCAGGATTGTGTCGAGGCACAGATCTGGGGAAGGGTACCAAAACATTTTTGCAGCATTAAAGGTCAAGAAACAGTGACCTCCATCATTCTTAAATGGAATAAGTTTGGAACCACCAAGACTATTCCTAGAGCTGACCGCCCAGCCAAACTGAGCACTCAGGGAGAAGGGCCTTGGTCAGGGAGGTGACCAAGAACCCGATGGTCACTCTGACAGAGTTCCTCTGTGGAGATGGAAGAACCTTCCAGAAGTACAACCATCTCTGCAGCACTCCACCAATCAGGCCTTTATGGTAGAGTGGCCAGATGGAAGCCACTCCTCAGTAAAAGGCATGACAGCCCGCTTGGAGTTTGCCAAAAGGCACCTAAAGGACTCTCAGACCATGAGAAACAAGATTCTCTGGCCTGAATGCCAAACATCACGTCTGGAGGAAACCTGGCACCATCCCTACTGTGAAGCATGGTGGTGGCACCATTACATTTACGTCATTTAGCAGACGCTCTTATCCAGAGCGACTTACAAATTGGTGCATTCAACTTATGATAGCCAGTGGGACAACCACCCTTTTTTTTTTATGGGGGGGGGTGGTAGAAGGATTACTATTACCATCATGCTGTGGGGATGTTTTTCAGCAGCAGGAACTGGGAGACTAATCAGGATCGAGGGAAAGATTAACAGAGCAAAGTACAGAGAGATCCTTGATAAAAAAACCTACTCCAGAACGCTCAGGACCTCAGACTGGGGTGAAGGTTCACCTTCCAACAGGACAACGACACTAAGCACACAGCCAAGACAACGCAGGAGTGGCTTCGGGACAAGTCTCTGAATGTCCTTGAGTGGCCCAGCCCGGACTTGAACCTGATCGAACATGTCTGGAGAGACCTGAAAATAGCTGTGCAGCGACGCTCCCCATCCCACCTGACAGAGTTTGATAGGATCTGCAGAGAAGAATGGGAGAAACTCCCCAAATACAGGTGTGCCAAGCTTGTAGCGTCATACCCAAGAAGACTTGAGGCTGTAATCGCTGCCAAAGGTGCTTCAACAAAGTACTGAGTAAAGGGTCTGAATACTTATGTAAATGTGATATTTTATTTATTTATTTTTACATCTGCAAAAATATCATAAACTGTTGACGAGGGGGGGAAAAACAATTCAATCCATTTTTACAATAAGGCTGTAACGTAACAAAACGTGGAAAAAGTCAAGGGGTCTGAATACTTTCCGAATGCACTGTATGTAATCTGTATCTCGCAATGTCTTGTATGCAAATTCACCAAAGTAGCCTAGAGTCTCTTCCTCTCTGGTTTAATTGAAATTACACATTTCCCAGGCCTTTATAGCCTGTTGTCTAGTTACACTATAACACGGAAAAATGTTTTGTGATAACTGCCCTTTTTTTTTTCTTAAATATGATTTGGGATTTGTCTTAACGTTAAGGATCCCAATTTCGCGTTCTCACCCCTAGTGTGTAATGTGTATTTAGCTAGTTGTGACTGTATGTGTAGTGTGTGGCAGGGTTTCCATTAGCCGGTATAGCCTGCTTTTGGCCTTTAAAAAAATTGAAATGCCGATAAATAAAATTGGCACCGGCCAATTGTCTGAAACAATAATAATAAAATAATGCTTTTCAGCCTATACATTGATGGAAATACATTTGACCAGTCATGCTTATTGGACTATGGGTTAACTTGAATAATTTAGTGGAATTGAATTGGCGCGTCTGTGTAAATTCGTTACACATCTTATCACACGCACCACATACAGAGCCATTGAGCGGAGAATCTGACAGCGCTTTTATAAGCCCAACCATTGCGCAACAATTCTAAATGCAATCGTGTGTTAAAAATTGTTTTTGGGCCATGATTAAAGAGCTACTATTTTTATTTCTCAACTGGTAATAGTCTAACTAGACAACAGGCTATAAAGGCCTTGGAAATGTGTAATTTCAATAAAACCAGTGGAAGAGGCAAACTTTTGGCTACTTTGGTGAATTTGCGAGGCATACAAGACATTGCGAGATACAGATTACATAGTGGATTCGGAAAGTATTCAGACCCCTTGACTTTATCCACGCTTCCCATTTGCCATTCAAATGCATAGGCAACAGAAGGCAGGCTTCCTCAGCACGTCACAATGAGCTAGAGGCAGTATGCATTTTGAAAACATAGCTTGGAAAGCAAGTGGCTATTGTGGTAAAAAGAAAACAATGAACACTAAATCTGTCTTTTAGTTATCAAAATTCTCAACTTAATTGAGCCAACAGTAGGCCTGTAGCCTATCTTATTGGCACCCGTGGAGAGCATTGGCCATATCCCCAGTGAGTGCACACTTCGCATGTTCACTGTTTATCATTGTCAGGTCAGTGTCACTTAAAAAAAGTTTGTTTTTGGACAATAATTTCCTCCTCCAGTTTAGGTGGAGGTCATTCTATTTGTGTCTCCCCTTCTCGTAGGCCTAATATATGAACAACGTCGTTTTTATTGATCTGTTTGTTAGCAGAGTAGGCTACCCTCTAATTAGTTGTATAAAAAAATATTCAGCTAATGTCTCCAGTCATAGTGTAGTAGAACTGCATGAAATGTGTTTTTCCTGTGCAAAGAAAGAAGCGTATCTGATATAGCCTATAGCCCAGGCCTCTACGCGCTCAGCCATGCTTTGAAATGTATTTTTTTGCAAGCAGTGATTGAGTTATATTAGCCTAAATTATGACTATCCAATCTACTCATCACATTACGAATAGTAGGCTCTTACATAAGTCTGCAAATGCGGTGATACTGTGCATGGAATGCTTTATTATAAAGTTGTATTTTTATGGTGAAAATGTGCTTCCCTAAACATGAAACTCACGCGCCGCCTATGCATAGGCTAGTGATTTTGCTGTTCGTTACTCGTCTTGTTGGCCGAGGAAACGTAAATGTGGACAGTTATTCTAACATATTCAAAGTGCGCGGTAAGGACACACGTCATTGCACCCTAGACTTGCAAGTTCTATTAAGATTAATTACCATAATCTAAATGTGATTTCTGTCATTCTGAGCACTAATCAGGTTACGCACCCAATGCATATGGGTCCGGTAAATTTCTCAAATGTCCTGTAAGTTTAAATGCTACCGGTCAAATGTCCAGTGCCATATTTTCATTAGGGAACCCTAGTGTGTGTGTGTGTGTGTGTCTCTCACCGTGAGTGGCCAACCTCAGGAAGAGTTTGTTGCCCTTGAAGGGTTTGATGGCTGGTCGTAGGTCGTTCCGGAGCAGAGACTCACTCTCTGCCTGAGACAGCAGGTCCACCTCAAATAAACACACAGGTAAATAACATGCAGAGTTTCTACACACATACAGGTAACTAATACGCAACGTTTCCCCACACACCCAGTCTTGCACACAGTTTTACCTGGGTGGTCTCAGGTTCTGTTTTCTTCTCAGTCTCTCCCTCACTGGCTTTCCCCTCATTCTCCTTCACCATCTCTTTCTCCTCCTCATCCACCTCTCCCTCTTCATCATCATCGTCATCCGAGCCTCGTTCTCCGCGAGCTGAGACAGAACAGCAAGCAACACTCAGTGACAAAGCATATTAAGTGCATGCCTCATATGACTGACAACACACACTGACCACAAACACCACGTCGCAGTCCTGACCATCAACACAGAATTACCCACCACATGTAATCATAAGACATACAAAGACAGTGAACATTGGAACATGGACACACACTCCAAAATGGACACACAGCACACTCACCCTTGCTCTCCTGGGTGGGATCACCAGGTTCTTTGGTGTGGTCTGTCTCCGTGGTAACCACCTCTGGGTCAGGCATGCGGCTGATGTTGATCAGAGCCCGGGTGGAAGTGACATCATCCAGCCACACCACATTACCTAGGAAACAATATTTAATGGCCTGTTAAAAACAGACCACTTGTCAGTCGCCTCTGTGTGTGTGTGTGTGTGTGTGTGTGTTACTCACAGGAGGTGTCGTCAATCCACTCGATGTGTGCTGGAGGGTAATCCTTAAAGTAACCAAACACATCCTGGGTGCTCATATCATCAACACCCGCCACGTGCAACGCCTCCAGGCGCAAGTTAGGGATGGCTGAGAAAGGGAGGGAGAGTGTATTCAGTGTGTGCATAGGTGTGAAATGGGCCGGGGACAATACCAATATCGCCATATTTGTAAGTATCGTGGCAAGGAAACAAAACACGAAGTGGATTTAACTTCTTTAACAGCACTAATGTTGGAAAAAAACATGATGTTGTAATCCAGTCACACGTATTCATTTTCCAAGCTATAATACACAATATTTTACATACAGTAGGTTTTTAAAGGACCAAAGAGTAGTCTGCTTCGTGTTTTCATTTTTGCCATGGAACAAATATTGCGATACTTGTCACAGCCCTAGTGTGAGTGATAAAAAGCCGGGTAAGTGTGTACCTTTCATCTTTATCCAGCACTGTGTGTGTGTGTATACAGTACCTTCAGAAAGTATTCATACTCCTTAACTTTACACATTGTTGTGTTACAGCCTGAATTCATAATGGATTGAAGACTTACACACAATACCCCATAATGACAAAGTGAAAACATTAATTGAAAATGAAATACAGAAATATCTCACTTACATAAGTATTCACACCTATTTGCTATGACACTCCAAATTGAGTTCTGGTGCATCCAATTTACTTTGAGTCCATCTGTGGTCAATTAAATTGTTTGGACATGATTTAGAAAAGAAACACCGGTCTATACAAGGTCCCCACAGTTGACAGTGCATGTCAGAGCAGAAACTATACCATGAAGTCCAAAGGAAATGTCAGTAGATCTCTGAGATAGAATTGTGATGAGGCATAAATCTGGGGAAGGGTATAAAACAATTTCTAGTGTTGAAAGTTTCCAAGAGCACAGTGGTCTCTATCATTGGGAAATTGAAAAATAATGGAACTACCCAGACTGCCTAGAGCTGGCCATCCAACCAAACTGAGTAACCGGGCAAGAAGGACCTTGGTCAGGGAGGTGACCAGGAAGCCAATGACCACTGACAGAACTAGGCTGAGATTGTTGTCCTTCTGGCAGGTTTTCCCGTCTCTACAGCACTTCACCAATCTAGCCTTTATGGGAGTGGCCAGACGGAAGCCACTCCTGAGAAATGCACATGATGGCATGCCTGGAGTTTGCAAAAAATAAACATGAAAGACAGATCATAAGGCAAATTATTTTGTGGTCTGATCACACAAATTGAATCCATTGACAAATCTGGAAAAACTTGAAGATTGCTGTTCAGCGCTTGAGAAAATCTTCAAGGAAGAATGGGAGAAAATCCCCAAATCTAGATATACAAAGGTGAACAGACATACCCAAGAACTCAGAGCTGTAAACGCCACCAAAGCTGCTTCTACTTAGTATTGTATCAGGGGTGTGAATACTTATTATATTTCTGTATTTCATTTTCAATACATTTCCAAAAACATGTTTTCACTTTGTCATTATGGGGTATTGTGTGTGAGAAAAAATAAATATTTTAATCCATTTTGAAATCCACACAAAATGTGGAATAAGTCAAGGGGTGTGAATACTTTCTGAAGGCACTGTACGTGTGTGTATCTACCTTTCTTCATGGTGTCTCTGTCCAACACCACATTCTTCTGGGCCAGGTTGGCCTCTGCACGGAAGTGGAACCTTTCCGCTCTCTTCTCCTTCCTCTCAATCGCCTCCTAGAAACAAACAAACACAGTTATGGCAGTTAAAAGTTTAACCTCTTACTTTTGAGTGATGGAACTAGTATTAGTGTAAACGTTTTTGTCAGATCACTTGCAGGTATGGTTACAATACTGTACCTTTGATGTGACATCGATTCCAGTGATGAATGTGCCAGCTTTGTTCTCATACCGGCGACTTGTGTCCTGGTTAAATGTCAATAAATGTGTACATTAGACGCACTTTCTTACTGTGGGGTAGCCTAGCTAACAATGTATTGCTGACAGTTTACGTTTGTTCTTTACAATGAATGACTGTTGACAAAACAAGATGGTGTGCATTGAGTCTATCATACAACACCCCCCACCCCTAAAAAAAAAAAAGCTGGCAAATTGAAAGTGGCAAGATCTAGCACCAAACCTCTGTCCTTGGGGACGTTAAAATTAGTTTGCTAACTAACTAGTACGTTGTATTATTAACTATGTAACGAGGGGGTTTCTGTCATGAAACTTAACGTCAATTGAATTAACTAGCCAACGGTAGTTAGGCAGAGTTAAATGCTAAGATAACCGTTGTTTGTCATAAAATATGTAAAGTTAGCTTGCTTACGCTAGAACCAACAATATACTGTAACAACACAGACAGGTATGGTGAGGATGTCAACTAGCTACACTGGCTAACACTAGCTAGCCGCTAGCTATCTTGCTAGCTTAAGGCACGCTGAGCTCCTCCAATAACAAGGCAATATTCACAGGCCCCCGAAGGTACGCGAGCCCGCGATCTGGTGAGGCCTACATCCCTCACCGGCAACAATTCCTTCAAAGACCGGTTAACGGGGATGTCTTCCACCTTGAGTTCACCCTCCTCCACCTCCATCGGTTCAGATTCACGGGCATCTCGGTCCGAGTCTGAATCCGAGTCCGATTCTGAGCGGTCTGGACCGCTGTCTGGCTTTATCGACACCAGTAGACTGCGTACTGCCGCCATGGTCCTAACACTCAGTCCGCAAGCGCGTTCGAAGTAGGAAGTCGTGAGTGTGCAAGGAGAGGCTATACCCACACGCCTTGTGACTACATTTATGACGTATGTCGCGCAGTGAGATTCGAGTCAAAGACAGTATATCCATATAAAAAGTACAGTTGCATATCTGGGAGTTTTTGTCAGAAAGGACAGTGATGCGTGTGAAATCGAATCATGAAAACAATTTCTGGAAAGCCAAAGTTATTCTTAACAGTTGGCTTCAAAGAGATGTATCTACACTGAACATAAATATAAACGCAACATGTTGTGTTGGTCCCATGTTTCATGAGCTAAAATAAAAGATCACAGAAATGTTCCATATGCACAAAATGCTTATTTCTCTTAAATGTTGTGAACAAATTTGTTTACATTCCTGTTAGTGAGCATTTATCCTTTGCCACAATAACCCATCCACCTGACAGGTAGCTTAATGGGTAAGAGCGTTGCCGAAAGGTCGCTGGTTCTAATCCCTGAGCCGACTAGGTGAAAATTCTGTTGATGTGCCCTTAAGCAAGGCACTTAACCCTAATTGCTCCTGTAAGTCGCTCTGGATAAGAGTGTCTGCTAAATGACTAAAATGTAATATATCAAGAAGCTGATTAAACAGCATAATCAGTACACAGGTGCACCTTGTGCTGGGGACAATAAAAGTGCAGTTTTGTCCAACAATGCAATGCCACAGAAGTCTCAAGTTTTGAGAGAGCGTGCAATTGGCATGCTGACTGCAGGAATGTCCACCAGAGCTGTTGCCAGAGAATTGAATGTTAATTTCTCTACCATAAGCCACCTCCAAAGTCGTTTTAGAGAATTTGGCAGTACGTCCAACCAGCCTCACAACCGCAGGCGCCGTGTTGGTGAGCAGTTTACTGATGTCAACATCGTGAACAGAGTGTCCCATGGTGGCGGTGGGGTTATGGTATGGGCAGGCATAAACCTCGGACAATCAAATCAAATCAAATGTTATTTCTCACATGCGCCGAATACAACAGGTGTAGACCTTACAGTGAAATGCTTACTTACAAGCCTTTAACCAACAATGCAGTTTTAAGAAAGAACACCCCCCAAAAATCACTAAAAAATACAATATAAAATCATACAAAATAAAGTAACAAATAATTAATGAGCAGCAGTACAAATAACAATAGTGAGGCTACAGTTGAAGTCGGAAGTTTACATACACCTTAGCCAAATACATTTAAACTCAGTTTTTCACAATTTCTGACATTTAATCCATGTAAAAAGTCCCTGTCTTAGGTCAGTTAGGATCACCACTTTATTTTAAGAATGTGAAATGTCAGAATAATACTAGAGAGAATGATTTATTTCAGCTTTTATTTATTTCATCACATTCCCAGTGGGTCAGAAGTTTACATACACTCAATTAGTATTTGGTAGCATTGCCTTTATATTGTTTAACTTGGGTCAAACGTTTCGGGTAGCCTTCCACAAGCTTCCCACAATAAGTTGGGTGAATTTTGGCCCATTCCTCCTGACAGAGCTGGTGTAACTGAGTCAGGTTTGTAGGCCTCCTTGCTCGCACACGCTTTTTCAGTTCTGCACATAAATGTTCTATAGGATTGAGGTCAGGGCTTTGTGATGGCCACTCCAATACCTTTACTTTGTTGTCCTTAAGCAATTTTGCCACAACTTTGGAAGTATGCTTGGGATCATTGGCCATTTGGAAGACCCATTGGCGACCAAGCTTTAACTTCCTGACTGATGTCTTGAGATGTTGCTTCAATATATCCACATCATTTTCCTTCCTCATGATGCCATCTATTTTGTGAAGTGCACCAGTCCCACCTGCAGCAAAGCACCCCCACAGCATGATGCTGCCACCCCCGTTCTTCACGGTTGGGATGGTGTTCTTCGGCTTGCAAGCGTCCCCCTTTTTCCTCCAAACATAACGATGGTCATTACGGCCAAACAGTTCTATTTTTGTTTCATCAGCAAAGAGGCACTGAGTTTGAAGGTAGGCCTTGAAATACATCCACAGGTACACTTCCAATTGACTCAAATGATGTCAGTTAGCCTATCAGAAGCTTCTAAAGCCATGATATCATTTTCTGGAATTTTCCAAGCTCTTTAAAGGCACAGTCAACTTAGTGTATGTAAACTTCTGACCCACTGGAATTGTGATACAGTGAATTATAAGTGAAATAATCTGTCTGTCAACAATTGTTGGAAAAATTACTTGTGTCATGCGCAAAGTCCTAACCGACTTGCCAAAACTATAGTTTGTTAACAAGATATTTGTGGAGTGGTTGAAAAACAAGTTTTAATGACTCCAACCTAAGTGTATGTAAACTTCCGACTTCAACTGTATATACAGGGGGAACCGGTACCGAGTCAATGTGCGGGGGCACCGGTTAGTCGAGGTGATTGGGGTAATATGTACATGCAGGTAGAGTTATTAAAGTGACTATGCATAGATAATAAACAGAGAGTAGCAGCAGCGTAAAAGAGGGGTGTGGGGGGGCAATGCAAATAGTCTGGGTAGCCATTTAATTAGATGTTCAGGAGTCTTATGGCTTGGGGGTAGAAGCTGTTTAGAAGCCTCTTGCACCTAGACTTGGTGCTCGGGTACCGCTTGCCGTGCGGTAGCAGAGAGAACAGTCTATGACTAGGGTGGCTGGAGTCTTTGACAATTTTTAGGGCAGTCCTCTGACACCGCCTGGTATAGAGGTCCTGGATGGCAGGAAGCTTGGCCCCAGTGATGTGCTGGGCCGTACGCACTACCCTCTGTAGTGCCTTGCAGTTGGAGGCCGAGCAGTTGCCATACCAGGCAGTGATGCCAACCAGTCAGGATGCTCTCGATGGTGCAGCTGTAGAACCTTTTGAGGATCTGAGGACCCATGCCAAATCTTTTCAGTCTCCTTAGGGGGAATAGGTTTTGTCATGCCCTCTTCACGACTGACTTAGTGTGTTTGGACCATGTTAGTTTGTTGGTGATGTGGACACCAAGGAACTTGAAGCTCTCAACAGCCCCGTCGATGAGAATGGGAGCATGCTCAGTCCTCTTTTTTTTTCCCTGTAGTCCACGATCATCTCCTTTGTCTTGATCAAGTTGAGGGAGATGTTTGTCCTGGCACCACACGGCCAGGTCTTTGACCTACTCCCTATAGAATGTCTCGCTGTTGTCGGTAATCAGGCCTACCACTGTTGTGTCATCGGCAAACTTTAATGATGGTGTTGGAGTCGTGCCTGGCCATACAGTCATGAGTGAACAGGGAGTACAGGAGGGGACTGAGCACGCACCCCTGAGGGGCCTCCGTGTTGAGCATCAGCGTGGCGGATGTGTTGTTACCTACCCTTACCACCTGGGGGCAGCCCGTCAGGAAGTCCAGGATCCAGTTGCAGAGGGAGGTGTTTAGTCCCAGGGTCCTTAGCTTAGTGCTGAGCTTTGAGGGCACTATGGTGTTGAACGCTGAGCTATAGTCAATGAATAGCATTCTCACATAGGTGTTCCTTTTGTCCAGGTGTGAAATGGCAGTGTGGAGCGCAATAGAGATTGCATCATCTGTGGATCTGTTGGGGCGATATGCCAATTGGAAGTGGGTCTAGGGTTTCTGGGATAATGGTGTTGATGTGAGCCATGACCAGCCTTTCAAAGCACTTCATGGCTACAGACGTGAGTGCTACGGGTCGGTAGTCATTTAGGCAGGTTACCTTAGTGTTCTTGGGCACAGGAACTATGGTGGTCTGCTTGAAACTGTCGTAGAAAATTATCACTATACTTATTAAAAATCAAAGTTCTTCCAGAGTTTTTGTAGAATCAAGATAGACTTTATTACATAGAGCAACAAAAGCCGAGCTGATCTGCAGAGCAACTGCCTTCCCAACACTCAGCCCTCAGTTTATTTCCATTCCTGCTCGTTTTACATACTCTTTAGCTTAAACCCTCCCAGTTCAGTTTCTCCACTATTGTTTCCAGGCCTTCATCTTTTGACCGCTACGCCCCACTCTCTTTATTTATGATAGTGGCGAAATCTGACCCTATTCAGTCTCCTCCTTCTATTTATCTAGCTTGGAAACAATTGTGGCAGAACCAGGCTTTCTCATGTGAAAAATAACAGAGCCATCTCCTGGAGGTCCATAACCCATTCTCAACCGTATACATTTAACATTCCTTATGCATTGCCTCATGCATAACAGTATAATTAATCAAGAGCATTGTCCTGACTCTGGCTCAGACTCCCTCCCTGTGTACCACTCGGTACCACACTCCGTATCCACTTAGTCGTACTGCTTGTCTTTATAATTAGCTATGTTTTCATCTTTATAGTCTAAAAGATTTACTATGTTTAACCTATGGTCTGACCTTGGGTACCACTTGGTACCATGGCTCTGTATGGTCTACTGAAAAAATACCCAACACATCCCCCCTTTGGGACTAAATAGGTCCCACACTTCAAATGTATATAGTGACTAAGATATGAATACTGAGATATATAGAGACTAACATAAAAATTCTCATTCATTAAAATATATTTTTAAAACATTACTGCAGGTAGCTTAGTGGTTAAGAGTGTAGTGCCAGTAACCGAAAGGTCGCTGGTTCTAATCCCCGAGCCAACTAGGTGAAAAGCAAGGCACTTAACCCTAATTGCTCCTGTAAGTCTCTCTGGATAAGAGCGTCTGCTAAATGACTAAAATGCAAAAATGTACTCTAAAATAAACAATGTACTGTAAGTGTTAGTATCCTAACACCTAAAATAATGCAGCTTTGTTTTAACCATAATATCTATTTAAGACAGTTATATACTACATAGAGAAAACAGGAGAGAGGCCTATTCTATCTTTTTAGGATTCCAGGTTTTCTCCAGGCGTCCTATATGGGACCCCTAGTTCCAATACCAAAATCTATTTAAATGTTACCTCACCTACTGCCCTTAATCTAATGCTTAGACTCTTTATCACCGCTATAGTAATATGGAACAGGACATAAGTCCAGTTTTCTTCAGCAG